CCGGCCACCGGCCCGGCGAAGGTGGCGGGGAGGGGGGGTAGGAATAGCATCCCGGTAGGCCGGTTGTCAGGGCAACCTCTTCCTCTCCCCTAATTCGTAGCCTGAACGGCGGCAGCGCGACTCGCTCTTGTTCTGGCGCTGCGCTGCACCAGCGTCTCCCAGACTGCTTGAGGGGCTCCAGTTCTGGGGAGCGAAAATAGATCCTTTCGCATCTTGTAAGCAGGGTTCTCTATCGCTACAGTGGTGATTTAAAACACCCCATTTATTTATTTATTTATTTATTTATTTGATTTGTCCCCGCCCATCCCCCCCCAATGGGGGACTCTGGGCAGCTCACAACTCATTAAAAACAATGAATAGTTTATAGTTCTTCCTTTCCTAGTTTTGTGTTCATAATTCCCCACGTATCACCAAATCCCACAATCCTAAACTGCTAAACTGCTTCTAATAGCCCACTGGAGGGCAACCATTCTTTAAAAGTATTTTGTAAATTAAATCAGATGGAAGCCACCATAGCCCCACCTCATCTGCATGGGCCCTGTCTGTCAGGAAGGCAGGTGCAGGGAGTGACACTGGGGGGCCAGCCAAGCACAAGGGTGGGAAGACCCCGCGGGAGGCCTTCTTGCTCCACACCTTTTTCAAAGCCACAGGACCACAGGCTGGTAAAAGAATGAGAAGGAGAGGCTCTCCCCCTGAGGCCTCTCATTAAAACCGTTTCCATGAAATGGTACCTTAAATTGGATGGCGAGCTCCTAGTCCTCATCAGTCGGAGCGCTTCATGAACTTCAGAACTAATCCACCCCAGCAGATCCAGCAAAATCACTCATGCCGCGACGCAGAGGGGCCCCAGAGCCGGGCTGGAATCTGTCCTGAGAACACAGCCCCAGACGCTTCAGGGGCCTCACTGTGTCCCGCCTGAGCCTGTTTCTGTTCTTCTGTGTCCTGCCAGATTGCAGCCTTGCTCAAGGACCACCAGCGCATTCAGTCCAACCAGGCCAATGTGCCGAGCGATGACGACATTGACATCAAGAAGATCAAGAAGGCAAGGAGCATGCATTTGCCCCCAGCTCTGCCACAAGATGACAGGGCTGCCCCTGGGGCGGGGACGGGGGAGGAAGTGAGAAGAGGTGGGCCGCTCCTGAATCCTTCTTTCCCTTTTTCGGGCCCAGAGGGAAACTTCCAGCATACACATGCCTCGGGGGGCACTTTTTCCCTAGCAGAAGGTGCCCATCATCCTACCCCTACCTCCCACCTTGGGAAAAGACCCCGAGGGTGCTTTCAGGGCTCCTCTGCGCTTGATCAGAGTTTCCAACTGGCTAGCAGCCACTCACACTTGGAGGGCCCCGTGCTGGCAGCCCCCCCCTCACCTGGCCGGCCTTGAGGGCAGACAGGATGGGCGCTTCCAGTGGGCCGCAGGATCAGGCTGGCAGTTCTCGCCCATGACCCGCCACCCAGCAGCTGCAGGAGAGCCCAGCACCCCGCTGGCAGCTGCCCCAATGCCTCTGGGCCAGGGTCTCTGTGGCTGCTGGCCCACTGCCCTGATTTCTGAACTTGGGCCAGGGGCGTCTAGAAGGAAGACCCACACTGGCCCCGCCCTGCTCCCTGGTTGCTCAGAGGGCCCCCGAGGCTGGCTTTGTGCTGCTTCCCTTTTGGGAAGTCATCGTGTGGTTTTCATTTGCGTTGGGGGATGGGATCCTGTAAGCGGCAGCTGCCTTGTCTGCGGCCCAAGAGTGCTGCATGTGGTTGGTGATTCAGCCCCCTCAGTGTAGGTCTTTCTGTGCCGAGATTTGTGGAGATGGGCCAGGCCGGTGGCCAAAGACTCCCATTTGCAACCTCTGAAGTATGAGCTGAGGAAGATACCAAAAAGCAGGTTTATATATATTGGGGGTTGGGTGGGAATTGCTCATATTTCAGTGCCCGCTGGCAGCTCTGTATGGCAACCAGAAAGGAGTTTACATGAACAAACCCAAAGCAGTGGCCCCCATTGCTAGTCAGTTCAGAAGGTCGAATGAGCTTTATACAGATCCTTCCAGTGGCCACTTCAGGGCCGAGCCCAACGGGGCCATGCTGGCCTCCCAAGAAAGAGCTTCTTGGATACTGGGTTGCCCATCAGCCTTAGGTCGAGCTGGAGAGGAGGACCAGGCGCGCTTGGATGGCCCTCACGGCCCTTCCTTTGATTCCTGGGGCCGAACTACAGAGGCTTTAGCAATACCTTGAGTTTGGAAGTGAGTCTGGAATTAATAGGGCATGAGGCAAACTTCTCCTAATGTACCAGGTAGTAACAACATTCTCTTGCCTCTATAGCTACAACACATTCTCAAAGTGTAACTGGCCCAGAGCACGTTCCAAAGTCCCATTTGGATGTCCTCAAAGGACACATAGTCCGGCCCTGCATTCTCCAGAAAGCTGGCCAAAACCCTCCAGAAAAGCATTCTTGGTCACAGCTGCAAGGGATTGCCCTCAGGAGCCATTCTGGATCTTGGTGTGCTTCCAGACTGGGACTTGGGTTCCCGGGGGATGTGTTATCCTCTGCGTGCGGTCCTACGATCAGAGCCGGAAAGGGCCACTGAGCATTGAGTCCAACCCTCTGCTCAGTGCAGGAAGCATCAGGGGCAGATGGCTGTTAACCTTTGGTTGAACACCTTCAGTGAAAGGGAGCCCATGGTTGGAGGGAAAGCATTTGTGAGCATTCTTGAGAGTGGGCCTCTTACCTGAGCAATTGTTGGGGAAGCAGGTTGTAACTACCACAGAGAGAAGATTTATGGAGGAAATACATTATAGGGATAGGCAGAAAGCCAGAGCTCTGTGCACGTGTCTTAGGAACAAAAGCAGAAGAGCAGGCAGAGATCTCGCAGACCGAGAGCAGGCAGAGGAAAGACAGAGAGGGAACTCGCAGTAAATCCCTAACTATCTATAACCCACTTCCCCTTGTGGTTAGTTCTGCAGGAACCACACTTCTCTGGGTCCTGGGTTCTATGACTCTTGCCTCCCGTTAGTTTACATCCATGTCCCCGTGTCCTGCATTATACAACGGAAAAGCCTCAATCTCCTGGGTGCTGCTATTTCAGGTTTTTAAGGAATGCTGTCCTGTTCCCCTGGAGTCTTCTGTTGTCGAGGCTAATTTAATTCCCTTCCTCTTCACAGACATAGTTTCTGGTCATCCTCATTGCCCTTCTCTGAACCTGTTGCAGTTTCTCTGAATCTTCCTTAAAGCGGGGTGCCCAGAACGGGAGACAGAATAAACTGGAAATGTTACTTCTCATGATTTGTAAACTATACATTGTTGATGCAGCCTAAAATGTCATTTGCCTTTTTGCAGCCACATCATTCTACTGGCTTACAGTCAGTGTGCAGTCAACTACTATTCCAAGGTCTCTTTCACAAGCACCATTACACAGCTAGGCGTCACTCACTTGGTGCCTCTGCATTTGATTTCTGTTTCCAACATGAGAAACTGTACTTGTCTGTTTTGATTTTGCTTCGTGACTTTTATCCCTTTAACGTACCAAGTTTATTTTTATGTTTATTTCTGCTTTCTAGGTTATTAGCTGTTCCATCTAGGGACATTTGCAAAGTCAGTAAGCATTTCCTCTGTCTGTTCATCCATCAAAATATTGAAAACTTCTCAGCGCTGCATTCCATACCTTTCTCCAATTGGGTGAAGAACTGAGGATGCTCTTTGGGTACAATTTTCAGTTTGTATCCCCTTAATTGTCATGCTAAACCAGCCAACCCCTATCTGGGTTGCCATTTAGCCTGCTATGCCAAATACTTTTCTGAGGTCAGAGATGTATGTCTACAGCATTCCCACAATCCCCTAACAGTAAGAGCACTTTGAACTAAGGATCCAGCAAAGGGGTGAGCTTCTCTTCCGTGGTTGTTTGCAAGCCATCTGTCAAAGCGGTTTTAATTTGACTTCTTGCACCGAGCGAAAGGCCCAAATGGCCCTTCCAACTCTGGGGTTGTAAGGCTGTCGTTGCTCTTGGCACATGGATTAGCAGGAGATGGATCTGATAAGTCTCAAAATTGTTCTGCCACCCCTCTGATCCTGATCAGGCAGTGTCCATCACACACACTGACAGGTCTGGTGTGCACGTCGGTTTCTTTTCCTCCTAGTGCCGAGTCACTAGAGATCATGATTCTTCTCTTGGTCTCCTCCGCTGAACTCCTTTACCAAACTCCTGTCGACTCTGTTCATTTGCTCAGTCCACTCTTGTCTTGGGACTCTTGGTCCTGCCCCATCTTTCATAGAATCGTAGAAGGTAAATATTGGAAGAGATCCTCTACTCCAACCCCACTATTGCAGCATCTCTGACTAACATCCATCCACTTCCACCATCTCCCAAGCAAGCCTGTTCCACTGGTGGCCAGCAGGACGTTCTTTGGGATGTGCACCTAAAACCTGCTTCCTTCTAACTTAAACCTTTGGTTTCTTGTCTTGTTGTTTGAAACAAGTCTGCCCCCTCTTCTATACGACAGCTCTTCAGCTGCCTTGAAGACAGCTCTTGTGTCTCCCTGCAATCTTCTCTTCTCCAAGCTAAATACACCCAAACCTCCCAAACCTCCCAACTGCTCCTCATAGGTTTTTCCTTCAGGTGCCCTATCATATTGGCCAGTGAATATTGAATTGAATATTCTAGGTGTAGTTCCACCTCTGCAGAATAGAAAGAACAGTGATATCTCTTAATCTTGTCAATATATGTCTGTTGGTGCATCTAGGATTATGTTTGCTTTTTTTGCAGCTGCATCACAGTGTTGGCTCATGTTCAGCTTGTGATCTACCAAGACATTCCAGTTCTTTTTTGCATTACTCCTGTCCACCATAGACCTCCCATCCTATCCTTGTGCCTTTGATTTTACCCACCTAAATATAGGGTTTTGCATTCCACTTTATTGAAATACATCTTGCTGGATTGAGCCAATTGTTGCAACAGTCAAGGCCCCCCTGAATTTTGATTCTGTCCTTTAAAGGGGGCAGGGGGTGTTATTCCCCTATCTTTATGTTGTCTGCAAATTTGATAATTATATTTTTGAACCCCTCATCCAAGTTGCTTATTATCATGACAGGGCTTAGAACAGAGAACAGATTCCTTGACAATTCCAGCTTGGCACAGAGCCATTAATGCACTTTATTTATTTATTTACATTGCTTGCATGCTGCTCATTCCTGCAGGTTCTAGGAGAATAGCAGTATAAACATAAAAGACCTCAAGAAACCCCATGTACAGGTAAGACTAGGGGGGATGAGGGTGATCAAATTCCCCCTGGGAGGGGGGGTGACCACCAGGAATGCCCACCTCTGAGGGCCTGTCAGATGACAATCCCTTTGGGAGTTGCACAGGCAGTTGAGTACAGGAGGGGGTCCCTTAGATAAGCAGGCCCAGGAGCCATGGAGGGCCTTAAAGGAGATGACCAGCACCTTGAGTCACACCATAATTGATAACTTTTTCCCGGTGCAACAAGGTCCTCCAAGTATATTGAGATACTCCCATTACTGCCCATGTTGCCAGATTCTGCACCAGCTGTAGCTTCGAGCTGTTCTTCAAGGTTAGCCCTGTATAGGGTGTGTTACAGTAGCCCAAACAGGAAATGTCTAGGGCATGAGTGACTGTAAACAGAGCTTCCCAATCCAGGTGATGTAACAGTGTAAAAGCCCTTCTAGCCAAATCTGCCACTTGTTCTTCAAGTAGGAGATGTGGGTCTAGAACTCCCAAATTCATTCAAAGCTAAAGATGGAATTTCCCTGGAATTGTTAGGTCCACAAATTCAAAGTCACCTTGTCTTGGAGGGATTCAGCTGGAGCCCATTCTTCCCCATCCAGACCCTAACAAACTCCAGGCCAGCACTGGGTCAGCACTTCCACCACATCATCTGTTCGACCCAGGGACTAGATGCAAAGCTGGGTAACATTAGCATATTGATAATATTGAACCCTGTGCTAGTGGATGACCTCCCAAAATAGCTTCATATAGATGTTAAAGAGGTGTAGAGAGAGGAGAAATCCATGAAGCACTTCACAGAGCAGAGGTCTCCAGGTAGATCTCTCTTCTCCCACCACCAACTGGAGCTGACCAGAGAAGGAGAACCATTGCAAAACAGTGGCCCTCCCCATCCTGCAGAGATGATCCAAAAGAAAGTCACAGTAAATGGTATCCAAAGCTGCTGAGAGATCAAGGAGGACTGGGGTTGCAGTCCCCGGAACTCTCCAGGTGTCACTCACAAGCACAACCAATGCCGTTTCCAAGCTATATCCAAGCCTGAATCCTGACTGGTCCAAATAATCTGCTTCCTCTGGGGTCCTCTTGCAGTTGTAGGGCTACCACTTTCTTGCAAGAAAAGGAAGGTTGGAAACAGGGTTATAATTGTCCAAAGTTGGATTGAGGGGTGACTGGAAACCCTTTATGGAGCATTTGCTGAAAATGGAAAAAAATGAGCTTGTGATTTATGGGTTTGATGATTAGAAAGGGTAGAATATGGAAAGAAGGAAATTATGATGTAACCTTAGTGACAGAGGGTAAAATATAAATGCATTTATAACTGCTGTAAAGAAGATCAGAAGCCACTTTATGTCTTTTTTCTTTTTTTCTTTGTCTTTTTTTTCATTTCTATATACTCATAATTTTGCTTTTACTTTCTTTTTTCTTTAAATTTGTATTGTTTTTTCTTTTTGCTTTATTATTCTTTAATCAAAATCAAGGAAAAAAGTTGGATTTTGGGAAGGCTTCCTGAGCAGGGGAGCCTACCGTTGCCTCCAGAGGAGAGAGACACCCCCCCCCCCCCCCCCCCTATCCTTGCTTTTTACGTCTCCTCCCACCCTTTCTTACCTCCCGCCCGCGGATATCGCCGCCGCGGAAAAGACGGGATACACCCGCA